GTCAAATACTAATGCTTGAAAATCCTAACCTCAAAAAAATCACCCGTTATGTATGTAACATAAAGTTACAACTCGCAAAGTTTGAGTTGAAAGTTAAAATGATTAAAAAAAAGTTAATTATTGCTAATTGAAATTATTTTGAACACAAAAGCATTCGCCGAACTCATATGTGGTTGTATTATTAAAGCAGGGATTTAGTTTTATTATTGTTATTATTATTTTTTTTTAATTATGTTCATCTTCATTTAGTTATTAAATAATAGACCTGTTTGTATGCCTTATTTCTTCCGCTTTTAGTACTTCCGAATATAGTGAATAATCAAATTCGCGCTGAGATGTATAAAGGCACAGATCCCACTGTCGAAACGCAATTTAATAAACTCTATGTGTATCCGATGGATAATGTTAGCATACTGTTTGCTGATATTAAGGTGAGTACGTAAAGCGAATAATTAAAGCCTAAAAATTGTTGAAAAAAAAATTGCAAATGCAGCTTTTAGTAAACTTTACAATTTAACCGCAACCAAAAGTTGCTCTCTGGAACTTTTTTTGTATTTTTCCCACATTTTTTATTCAGTTTCCAAGTATAAAATAACCTGAAACGCACTAATCATATACCCAAGTAATCTAGTATGAAAGAAGGCGTTAAGAGCTCTTACGATTCTTATTTGTGTTGTTTTTTTTTTCTCTCCAACAGGGTTTCACTGAACTGGCAAGTAAAACTTCCGCCCAACAGCTTGTGAAAATTCTTAATGATCTGTTTGCTCGCTTTGATCGTATCGCCGAGGTAAGTGTCTTTTTTGTCTGTATGTATGTATGTATGTGTTTCAGCCAAGGACAGTGCGTTAATTTTTCTGGTATCCAAATCCTTATTGGGAAGATTCTTTTTTCGTTAAAAATTTGGCTTTTACTTTTTTTCATAATTGATCGCTATGATTGAGTTATTTTTTTTCTCTTATTTTCATTTTCAAGAAAAATAGATTTGATAAAATTTTCTACAAAAGGTTTTAGCAAACCATTCACAGCAGAAATCTCTATCTAGAGACTTAACTAAAACACCGCAATCCCGAGCCACGCTGCTTTGTTGGAATTTTGTATAAATCATCTTTTGCAGCCTGTCGTTTATCAGCTCCATCTCTCTCTCTCATAATACCTTATCATCCTCAGAACACTGCGGCAATCAAAATCAGGTGTGACTTTTATTTTTATCGCGTGAACTTCGATCAAATAGGGGCCTCTAAAAAAGGGAAAAATGCGGTGCTTTTGCCTTGTACTTATTCATAAAGAGCTTCTTTATCACCCTCGATCTACCCTGGATCAGGGGTACCATGCAATTGCGCAAATCCTAGTTTTCGTCCAACGTTCTCTGAGCTGAGTAAACCAGAGGCGGTCAACTCTTAAGTCAAGCAAACTACCGCAATGTCACTCTTGCCCGCTACCCTGGTTGTCGCTTGGCAAAGTATTAGAGTGCATATGCTTATTCGCCTTATTGACGTCACAGTTTTGCGCAGTTTTTCTGTCACTTTTTTCATGGCAACCATTTCAGCCTAAAATCGCTAGAGAAGTCTTGAAGTCTAAACTCTATGTTGATAAAGATGTAATGGCAGAAGACACGCGCTCCAAAATTTTCTTTAAGCATCGACCCATCAGCCACCCCACCCCATGCAATCATCTAGTCAGGAAAAGTACGTATGCAGATAAATAGCTACTTAGAGACATTTCACACCCGCATTGATCGGTGAAATCGAAGACGAAAAGGAAGTTTTCATGAATTTTGGTATGCCTAGACGCTGAGCTTGTTGGGCATCCGGCTGCAACAGGTATTTTGACAGCTTTCTATCTTAAGTCAAGCCCAATTACTTCGCCCCGTCAGAAAGCTGAGACGTACACTCCCAGTTGAAGGAAAAGTTGCTTTTGAGTTCTAGTCTATTCAATTGAGTACAACTAGTTCTGTTTTACTATAATTAATTGGAAACGACGCCGATTTCAGCAGCCTATTTATCACCAAGTTTAGATCATCTTGGATCAGATCATATGCGGTTCCTGTTTCGAGCTTCGGTTAAGATTTTAAACACGAAAAAAACACAAATCGTTTTCCAACTTCGTTCATATTCTTCTCCCGAAGCATTACTCTCAACTCATTGGAATCACTTGTCTAATGACTCCACCGCGACTACTTTGGCTTGCTGAGTATTTAGTCAAAAAGTTATGTCGCTTTTTTCTCCTTTGTCCGCATTGCTCTATGACACTTGCTCGTCAGTCTCTCAACATCCGTCGGTTGTCATATGTTAGTCTGCCTCTTCACCAGCGTTTAATTCATTCTTTTGGGGAATTTTGCAGTACATTTACACTGCAAAATTGCGTATGACTCTTCCTCGCACAAAATAAGTGTTCGTCCTAATCATTCGATCACAAATTCCGCGATTCGGCGCCTGACCTCTGACTGCTTACCTTTGGCCAGCTGAAAGCTCCCACTCTCGATCCAAATTCGAAACACTGTGCTGCTTTCGTTTCTGACGTGATCCATATCTTCTCTAACCGGCTTATACTCGGTTTTGTTTTCGGTAACCTAAAGAAGTCGATGTTAGAAAAGCGTCGCTGTTTCTCTTACCCAGAAAAAGTTAAAATGATTAATCAGTTCAAACTCTTCTTTAAATTTGCTGGCAGTTTTGTAGCTGAAAGTTATCGATTACTTTTGTTTTTGTTGGCATGCCTTCGAGAATGCAAAATAGAAAGAAAACAACAGAAAGTACATTTTATGTGATTTCTATGTACATCCAAAAAAATAATCCCAAACTATATGTAAATTGAAATATTTCTTGGCTATTGAACACCTACTTGGCTATCAATTGTCCATGCAACCAATGCTTGCTCAGTTAACTATACAGTGTAAACTATCTTGTATGGATATGTCCTGTACTTTTACTGCATCAAATGCAGTGACATTGATCCGTAGCAAATTGCGCACTATAGTGACGGCATCATCTGTCACAGTTTACACACATACATACATATGTATTTGCACGCTTTCTGTTTCGAATTTTTGCAGTTACTTGAGTGTTATACTTACATAACTACATACATACATATGTGTACATAAAAAAGCATTACATAAATTTTGCAAAAGCAAACAACAAATGGCCAGCAAAAACCAAAGCCAAATTGCTTAAGATAAGACAAGAATGTAAACATAAAGTTTTTTTATTTCTACGTTTTTCCGGTTCTGCCCTGGCCATTGCCGCACTGTGTCGCTGATGTATGTACGTCTGTTGTCATTTCTACCAACAAATGCTGCCGCTTACTTTTATGATGCTACTACATACATGCCCGTACGTGCTGCCTCCCCCCCTGTTACGTTCGCTTCATTTGACCGACCGCAACCGCAGGACAATCACTGTTTGCGTGTGAAACTCTTGGGCGATTGCTATTATTGTGTGTCACAGTTCGAGAGTGACAATTGGAAGACCCGGCCGGATCATGCGGTATGCAGTGTGGAGACTGGACTGCATATGATAAAGGCCATCAAGGATGTGCGACTGCATACGCATGTAAGTATGAGGTTTGTGTGTATATGCACATACATATGTATGTGCATAAATATATTTGTATGTATTTTCAATTATTTTAATGTAGTGGATGTGGTTAACGATTTTGTGTTGTAAGAAAATACATATCGAGCCATAACCGCCAAAATAACGTAAGCGACATTTTTTTCAAAATTTTCTTTTTGATGCAGAAATGTACCTAGATGCTCTAGGAATATTTCTGCATAAAAAAGAAAATTTTGAAAGAAATTTCGCTTACGTTATTTTGGCGGTTAGGGCTCGATATGTAAGAAGTGCCGTAATTTTGAGGTTGAACTTTTGAACATTGCATGAGAGCATAAAAGTAATTAGCAAAGAAAATAAAACCTAAGCAGTATTCACTACGAAGCATGAAGAGATCATCAAGATAAGTTACTAAATACTAAATACCGTTTTTCAGCTGACTTCAAAACAGCAGGAAAGTTATAAATTCATCGGCGTATTTGTTTTTTTTATTGTATATTACCGGCAATGTTGCCATGTTCACAGTTTTAACTGTAAGTCAAAATTTTTTGACAAGCTTAAGTTTTTTAAATTATGTTTTAGTACAAATTACAATTTTGTAAAACTTAGATTTGAAAGAATAAATTAAAACATATCTTTCGATTGTTTTTGTAAGTAATTTTTTTAATTGAAAAAGAGGTTTTGGATGTGCAACGTTCTTCTTTTGACTAAAAAGGGGCCTGGTTACAGTTTTTTGTTGAAAATACTTTCTTTTTTTTGTTGGGAATTCACAGTTTTTTTTTTAATATAAAATCTGGCAACACTGGTTACCATATAACTTTGCACTACGTGAACCGTTTTCGATAATTCTTTCTTTGTCGAAAAGGTGGTACCTCAAGGGTAGTAGAAATTGGGTTTGACTTTTTTCCTTAAAAATTCTTTTTTTTTTAATTAAACCTAGAGGTTGTTCCAAAAGAGAAAATGTACATTTTTTTAAGAAGCGAATCAAAATATCGAAATTCTCCGCAAAGTGCCAAAAAATTTCTTACGTTTTCGAAACATCTCGAAGATTTCAAAAAATCATGAAATCATGAGATCATGAAAAGACTAAACTCTTTGAAACCCGAAAAATCTTTTCAAAAATCCAGATAGGGTTAGGATGGCAGAGGTGCATTTAGACTAGGAAAGTAATTTTCATTTGGGTTACCATATACAAGAGGGCCTTCCTTTAAGAAAAAAATGTGAAACTCAGAGTGTTTAAACTTAAACCTCTCAAAACGTGGGCAGCTGAGTCGCAGGTATTGAGATGTTCCATGTGTATTTCCATCGGCGTAGCGAGAATGAAATTTAGGGGGGGCTCGACCCTATTAAGCTGGCATTTCAGGGTACTATTTTATATATATATAAGGAAAATTTGAAAGTTAGGGGGGGAGGATCGAGCACCCCCCTGCCCCTACCTGGCTACGCCCATGGGTATTTCTGATAACTTTAATACAGAAATATTTTCACTTAGGGCTGCCATTATTTTTAACACAAATTTGTATATTACTAATTTCAGCGCGCATCTCTTCGGCCCGGCATACTTCTAAATAGGGTTGCCACCTAATTTTTTATGAAAAATACTTTCTTAATTTGATATCTAATATCAGAAGCTAAAATATTTTAAATCAATTTCAAAAATATATTTTTTTTATAGAATTTTGAGGTATCTATTGACAATATTTTTTATTTATCGACCTACTTTTCTCAAAGTGTTTTATTTTCATTTCGCTTCACTGAATAATGGGCTACTTATTAGGCTGAAGTATTAACGCATTGCTTATAATTCTATTAGCAATATTACATAGAAAGACATTTATAAATTATTGCTTCAAGACCTTGAAAACTTAAAAAAGTATAAGCACTCCGTGCAATGCTCGGCCAACCTTGTACTTACTTATTAACAAGAATCAGATCTGTAATTTTTCCCATTTCCGAGATGCTGCCACTTATGGCGGTATGGATCACACCAATAAAATAACAATTAGTAATTTTTTCTAAGTGTAACGTCGGCTTAACCCTGCAGCAATAAGGCGGCCAATTGTCCATTAATGACTAGTACTTCACTGGTTAAAGTTTGACTGGTCAGATTTGGACATTTGCTTGCATCGAAAATGTCAGCCTTCGACCAGTCCCCATGGAACCGGCCTNTCTTACAATTCAATAAAAACAATTAAAGAACAACACCCTGTAAATGTCCCAATCGCTTGGTCTGGCCTTGATGCAAAGTGAACATTTGAACACACATTTGCATGCGTGGCTGTAGCTCAGTGCGCAGAGATGCTTGCCACTATTTGTTAGCTTTCAGGTGGGTCCGGGTTCAAATGCCGTCAGAAGCAACATGGTTATAAAATGATAAAATTTATTTTTTTTTGTGTTTCCGAATTATGAAAAAGCATCTGCGAAGTGCAGAACGCAACCTTACACCAACGAAAAAATCTCCAAAATTAGACTAGTCCAGGACTATCTTACGGTCAGTCACGCTAATGCTAAAAATGGCAGTTGAAACCATTGGCAGGGGAATTATGAGGGACTAGTACTGGTAACAATAGGGACTATCTGAGGGCTAACCTAGGGTGAGTCTGAATTGCTGCAGGGAATATATGAAAACACACATACATACATACTTATTTATTAAATGCATCCATTAACACTTTGTGTTGGGTTCGCGTGATAGTTGCACACGTGATTGCACAAAAAAAAAACTGACAGCAGGACAGTTTGGTCGGGAAAACGGTTCTTTATGGGCCGGCACTTGACTTCATTCAGTGCTTTTTTTTTTTGTTTTTTTTGGTTATGATGGCGCCAAAACAAAAACGTTTTGGGCCTCCAATATCATAAATGTGCCAAGCAATACAATACAAGCGCGCAATAACCGTGCGAGAAAAGGTTCACATAACAACAACAGCACAGATATGGATGTGTGTGCATGAAAGTGGACATATTTTTTTTATTGTTGCCACACACACGAAAAGCTCGAGGTAACAGCGCCAATATTGACAATTCATTTGCATGTAAATCACTTTGAATGCATTTTGCCGCCTCAGCAGCAAACCAAAAACTCTGTTGTGGCACACACACACACACTCATATCTACACGGAAAAACAATACACTATATACATATATAGAGCAGTGTTGAATAACGCATGCATATTTATGGAAGTTTATACCTATATGTACATATGTACATATTTGCATGTAGTTACATATAAAAATTATTTGCAAATTGCTGCGATTTTGCGCAAGTGAAAATATATGAAATTTAATGCTTAACTGTTGCGAATAAGCAAAAATGCATTAAGGTTATAACGAAAAGCAAATATCGATGAGTATACAAAATGCTAAAAAAAAAACTTGTAAATATTTCAAATTCTGCATCAACAATGTCTGCAAATTATGGCTTCAGGGTCATTGTGGTTTCATGCAGGCTTTTGTAGCCACATTGCGCTTCCGTTTCATCTTCACTGGCTATTCGTGTATGTATACACTTACATATGTACATATATGAAATATATTCATGTAGGATATTCTGATGTGCATACATACATACGTATGTGTGTTTGTATGATTTAGAAGGCTCATACAAGAGCCACATCGACCGCAAAGGCCGACAATTTAAAGGCCGTTTTACTTTGAACTACTCCGGGTATTCCAGCTTGAAGTCGGTGTAACAGCCGCAATATTGCTCAATGGCAAGTAGCCAAAATGTGCGAATGTACATAAATACAGAAATTTATAAATTGTACATATGTATGGTCATTAGTGTGGTCCAAAAACAGTAAAGGATTGTTCTATATCGAAAAAAGTATACCCCTGTTTTTTTTTATTTTGAAATCAAAAAAATATTTAAAGGTCGCTCAAAGCGCTCAAAGTTTTCCATGTGTTTTTATATGGGGAAAAAACAACTTTTCGTAGAAATGTTATAGAATTCTTGAAAATCAATATTTTTCGTTCGAAAAATTCTGGTTCACTTAAAGAGACTTTCAATAATAATACCCAATTGTTTATTTAACCATTTTTTAATATTAACGATTTTTTATTTTTCCGCCCATTGCATTTTTCGGAGTTTTTAAGGGTTTTTGGCGGAACTATAAATTATAGTTGCGATGAAAAAATGGTTAAATAAACAATTGGGTATTATTACTGGGAATCTCTTGCAGATAAACAGAATTTTCCGATAGAAAAATATTGATTATATACCGTTTCTACGAAAAGTCATTTTTCCCACATATAAAATATGTACATGCAAAACTTTGAGCGCTTTGAGCGACCTCTAAATATTTTTTGATTTAACAATGTAGAACAATCCTAGGGGGTGAGAGCATTACAATTCCGACTTTTACTTTTTCGCATGCTTTTTTGGACCACCCTTATGTCCGTACATGAATTCGCAGGTACGTATCGTGCATACAAATACGTTGCAATCGCTTTTTTGTTTTTTTCAATGTGTTGCCTCTATTTTACTTTTCTACAATTCGCATACAAAAGTCACAAACTCGCTTCATAAATATTCGCTTCTGCGTATTTTCGAGTTTGTTCTGCGATCCCTTTGGCCTTTGGCTGTAGTATTCATTTCACAAAAGCATAGAGTTGCTTTTCGCCGTTTTGCTTTTCATTCAAAAACCATTTTGCCTGTATGTAAATTCATGCAGAAAATCCAACTTTACTAGTCTTACTGTGAAAGTGCATACATATGTATGCTTATATATACTAGTTGAGCCCGCTGCTTAACTAATGATATATGTATAGTAACGACTAAGCTCAAGGAGTCTTTCGGAATTCGTCCTGGAAGGAGCTTGGAGTTTCTTTAGTTGTCTCATTCCGTTTGACTTTCGCCAGTGGGCATTAGTCTGAAATTCTTCCTAACTCCTTAGGTTAGGTTAAATTATCTCGGCTGCCATCATTCCTCAAGAAAAGGGCACACTTAAGCCACCATGGACCCATTGTGATGCCATATTTATTTGAGACTCCATATGTCTCCCTCCTCTTACCTTAGATATGGAACCACTTCGTAGCTCTGATGAAGCGCCAAAAATTCATAGGTACTGACTGAATCCAGTTCAGCCAGACATTCGAAAGAATAATGATAGCATAGGCAGTGATCCACGCTTTCGGTTTACTCCTCATCACTACAGCTACCACACTAGTGGTTCCGTATGGTTTTCAAATCGGTTAGGTAGAACCGCCAAACGAACGGAGATAAAATTAATGTTAGCGTATTAATATACATATATTTAGATAATATATTGGCGCTTACACATATGTTAGTGTTTGGCCGAGCTTCTCCTCCGATCTGTGGCGTGCGCCTTGATGTTGTCACACAAAGTGGAGGGACCCACAGTTTTACGCCGACTCCGAACAAGGGTTATCACTAAAAACCTCTTTTTCTTTTAATCATGAAAACAGCGTTTAACAGAATTAAATACATTTATTTTTCCTAGTTCCAGGTAAACAAAAATATCAGAATAATAAGCTACTATATACACATCCATATATAGCACACAAATATAGTTGTGTGTGCTTTTAACCAGACCCACCTAACGACATGCAATTCAACCCGCTGACTCCGAATCTGAGGTCCGTTTGACTTCTTCACTCTTAAAATTTCGAGTAGGTAAATTACGAAAAAAAAACAAAAAAATAAATGAAAACAAGTAAGAGCAGCGCTGTCTTCGGCTATGCCGAAGGCTTCATACCTTTCATGAACATCTGCAAATTTTACTTTGACAGATTACTGCTTTTGAATACATCTGCATACATCGATAGAGGAGTTACATACTTATATAAAAAATCGCATCTAAACAATCAGAGGTATGGAANATGGAAGATATACTTTATATGACACCAATCTAAGTGATTTTCACCGCTATGTGATCGGTATGTAAACCGGTAACACAATTTATTGGGTTTAGTTTCGTACATAAAGGAGATATATGGCAAAAACTGGTATCTTAACAATCAGTGCTATAGGAGATAAAGCTTATACAGCATAGATTTTGACGATTTTCTCAGTAGACTTTGTATTATTATTTATAAAATATCTTACGAAATTTATCGGTTTTAGCTGTTCAAATAAAGGAGTTTTACAGTAAAATCCCATATCTGAACAATCAGATGTATGGAAGATATATGTTGTAGTCATCCGATCCTTGTTATTTTCACTGTAAGTATTCTGTTAATAATGAGTGAAAATGGTGCGAAATTTCATGTTCCTAGCTGCATAAATGGAGGAGTTATGATAAAAGACCTCATATCTGAACAATCAGTTGTATGGGGGCTGCAGGTTATAGTGACCCGATCTTTGTTATTTTCGCTGTAAGTCTTCTGTTGATAATGAGTGAAAACAGCGCGAAATTTCATGGTCCTAGCTACATAAATGGATGAATTATAACGAAAAATCTCATATCTGAACAATCAGTTGTATGGGAGCTATAGGTTATAGTTACCCGATCTTTTTAATTTTCACTGTAAGTTTTCTGTTGATAATTATTGAAAACAGTGCGGAATTTCATGTTCCTAGCTATATAAATGGGGGAGTTATAACGTAAAATTTTATATCTGAACAATCAGTTGTATGGGAGCTATAGGTTATAGTGACCCGATCTTTGTAATTTTCACTGTAAGTATTCTGTTGATAATGGGTGCAAGTATTGCAAAATTTCATGTTCGTAGCTGCATAAATGGAGAAGTTATAATGAAAAATCTCATATCTGAACAATCAGTTGTATGGGAGCTATATGTTATAGTGGTCCGATTCTTCCGGTTCCGACAAATGATTAATACATTATAAAAATACACCCACCTACCAAATTTGATACGGATATCTCGAAAACTGAGAGACTAGATTGCATACAAACAGACGGACAGACGGACAGACGGACAGACGGATATGGCTAAATCAACTCAGCTCGACGTTCTGATCATATAAGTATACATTTTCATGGGTCTATCTCTTTTTGTTCTGGTACTTACAAACATCGGACCAAAGTTATAATACCATTTCATGCTCATGAAATGTATAAAAAATTCACGTAGTTTATAATATTCGCGGGTTTGGCATTAATTTCTTTAAGTTGCGGTTAAAAACTCCGAGATTCTTCGATTTACTGGAAATACGACTAACAATAAGTTGTTTCCTTTTTAATTTTCGAGTATGATAAAAAATAATCTATTCTGTAAGCACTTACATTTGTTTTTTTTTTTATTATGCATTTTAATCACTCTTGAAGTGTCATTCAAAATATTTGAAGAAACTTGTCATTGTTGAAACTGTTATCGATTCGAAATACTGTAAAACGAATTGAAGTTATATTCACATTGATTCTTTAAAATTCTTAGGTCAATCGCCTGTATTGATTGCTAATAATTTTCTTATATGACAGATTAGAAATTTAAAATGGCAAATTTTATTAAGTCACAAAAAAAAATATCAAAAAATTGTATTCCATATTTTTCCTATAGTCAACGATATTTCGTTTCACTGTCAATGCTGGTTATTTAGTTCAACAATTTTGTTTTTGTTTATCGTCAGGTTGATCTGAATATGCGCATTGGCATTCATAGCGGCTCAGTGATGTGCGGCGTTTTGGGCAATAAAAAATGGCATTTTGATGTTTGGTCCAACGATGTTATTATTGCCAATCATATGGAATCTGGCGGTATTCCTGGGTGAGTAATAAATTTAAAATTTTTGTGTGAGTGTATGTACATAGGCATGTACTTACATATGTATTCTTGTACATAAATATATGGTGCATACTATGTAGTATTTTTTTGTCATGGAAAATTTTTTTTATGTTAAAAATCGTACATTATATCAAGCGAACAGAAAACCATCAATGCCTTTTGAAATGATTTTTTTCGGCGTGTTGTTTCAAAGGACACCTGCGAACATGACGTGTATGTGTAAAATTCAGAGGATGAGCCAAAATTTTCAATTAAAATTCGTTTATAGTTTTTAATGGATTTTTGGCATAAAATGCAATTTCCATATTAGAAAAAAAAATTTATTTTCCTCTTGCAGGTTTTTTTTGGCGTACTATTAATTAAAAAGTAGAAACATTTCTATGTACGTATGCAAGTAGTACAAGGTACAAATTTATCCGTTTTCATAGAAGGCAAAAAACATTATTAAATTACTGATGGCTAAACAGGTGGATTATATTAGAAATGTTACTTTGAAATAGTTCACCAGCACTATGCCGAACCGCAGGATTGCGCCAAGATGAGTCGACCCTAATTCTATCCTTAACCATCTCGGGGAAGTGCTGCTAGCATAATTAGCTCAAACGTTTTTTTTTATTATTTATAAGGTGCGTTTTTCTAGCAAACCTAAAACAGAATGGAAAAGAATTTTAAAAAATTTTAGAAAGTTTCATTACAATTTAACGTGAGTTCCGTCACAGTAATATTTACTACTAGGACTCAGTTAAATTAGCCTCAGACCTTTCACAACACCACAAATGCCTTCTGATGACGCATGATCTCTGCACAAGATGAACTGAATGCTTGTTAAATAATTCCTAATAGGTTTTTACCGCCGGAAGCATCGGAAGCGGCGCTTGTTTGAAGCTGAAGCTTTTTGCAGTCATGTCAGAGAACATATCTACGAACCCACGGACGAGGTCTGATAACTGGGCTGACCAATTATCCATAGGCCACGAGACAGCTGCAATAAGAGACCCATTTTTTCTTAGGTTACGACTTATCTGAGCTGTTTGGATCAAAAGCAGCCATTGTATGCCACGCAAGTGAAGGATCCCCACATACCGCAAACCCTATTTTCTCTCGCCCCTAAACCCCACTCAACTTTGGTCTTACTCTTTCGAAACAGCACGTTTCCTAAGCCTACCGTTACGTAGTTGATACTGAGGAACACTCTACGATAACAACAAAAGGAACAAACGATGCAAACGGAGCTGTATGTATGTATGTACGTCGGCCACAGTCAGATATTTGTACCCCAAGAAATAAACAGTCAGCTACCTCAGAAGTTGTTTGCAGTCTGATCTGCCCATCGAAAGCAAATGACAAATTATACCTTCTGAGATTGAGAGCACATGAGTTTTGCTCACCTGCAGCCTCTTTTCGATGTCTTTCAGTCATTGTCGAGCGAAATATTCACTCAGTTACCGGCAGTGTCTTCGATGACCGAAGGTTTGAGTGTTTTAACGGGCTTGGGACCAGGAAGTACATGGTCGAAGCCATTGCTAGCCAAATTTCCAGGTATTTCCATATCACCGGGCATGCATAGTAAAACGAGTTCGTTAGGTTTACCAAGATAAGTAGTTTAGTCGACTCTTGCGTTGCCCAACTACTTTGGAAGTGGTTAGAAGGCTGGCCAATGCCTTTGGTGCAGCTTCATTGTCACAACAAACACAAATTATTACCTCTCAGTCTATTTTGCAGCAAGTAGTTCGTGGTTTGCAAATACCTCTGCTTGGAAAATCAAGGCATATGCTCCAAGAAAAAAGTCAAACTTGTTTTTATTATCTTTGTAATTGACTAAAACTTCTAACTAACAGCGCTGTTCCTATGCCAATGACAAGACTCACTGCATGACTATTGTCTTAACCACTGCTTTTTCATAAGATTTGTAGGTTATGCAAATAATAATGGCAGTTGCAATCATTAGAGCACTTAAAATTAATTTTCTGCTGCCTAGTTTTTGGCGATTCAATTAATATAAGAGGCATGCGATGCGCTTAACCATTGGCATGGCAATAGGGCTCTTAATATCAGAGCAGGGAACGCAAAATTGTATATAGTATCTCTTTGGCAAAGGCATACCTACATATCCTGTGGCATTAAAAATATGCTAAGGCTTAGCTCTATAAATGGGTTTGGAATTGGTGCGGATAGATTTTGGCGCCATCTGGCCATCTGATGCTTGAATAAATGTTTACTATCTGGGATTACACTCAAATACTTTGCTTCTGAAGAAATCTGAATAGAGCATTTTTAAGGTTCTATCTAGGAAAGTCTAGTGAAGAGCAAAACACTAGATTTCGTACGGTTAGCCGGCGGTGACTTGGCTTCACTTGGCGTATCAAATTGGCATCAGTTGACACAGAAGAGAAACGACTGCCGTGCGTTATTGAAAACGGCAAAAATTTCTTCGGTAACCGCCTATTGAAGAAGAACAAGAAGGGTGCCTGTTGCAACTCCATTTTCTTCTTTCATTCTCACAGTCACAGTCGGTGCGTCCTTATCAACTTCGAAATTAATCATACGCCCTGTACTCCGCATTGTAGTTTTGTTTCCATAACTGCATGCGACTTACTTAAGTAAAAGAGCGCCACTTCAATTCAGTAAAATATGTAGTGACAAAATAATTAAATTTCGACTTTGGTTTATTTAATTGCTTGGCATAGGAATAAAGACAATCGGTTATTGTCCTTCGCTAAATTTCCAACAGCATAGTTATGTATATCTGCCTGCACGTGTTAACAATTAGTTCAACATCAATTAGCTTCTTCTACTTTTTTCAGACGCGTACACATTTCGGAGGCCACATTGAAGTGCCTCAACGAGGCCTACGAAGTGGAGCCCGGCAACGGTGGTAGTCGTGACAATCACTTGAAAATGTTGAACATCAAAACGTATCTGATAAAACGCACTGAGCCATTAAGGTGAGTGATTAAGAGAAATGGTGAAATAAAATAAATATGCAAATAAATTATTGAAGTGCCACAAAAGAAGAAGAGCACTGAGCTGCACTGAGAGCTAAATAGATTTCAATGGAAATTTAAAAAAAAAATTTATTCACTCACCATTGTGTGACAAAAAAAAATATTTATGCTTTTGTATTTGTAACATTTTGTTTCTTCTACTTATGTATTTGCGCTCGCTTGTGCGCTTTTCAGACCGAAACGTCGCTTTGGCACGCGCAGCAGTCAACATTTGGCCAACACCATTTCAAGTGCGACAGCTGCGGGCGGCAGCGATGCCAGCACCCCAACTGCCGTCACAACACCCGCCAGCATCGCTTCCAAATCCATATCCACCACAACTGGTGTGGAAGCGCAACAGCAACAGCAACAGCAACAGCCACAGCCACAACCACATTTGCCCCCCAATCCTCTACCATCGCTCGCTGCACTACAAAAGAAAAATATTTCAGTAAACTCATTGCCAAATGTAATGGAGGGTGTTGCGTTGGGTAATGGTGGACGTGCAGCTGATGGCATCAATGGGCCTAGAAGCATCGCAGGTGGCGGTAGTGATAGCGCTGGTGGCATTGGAGCTGGTGATACAACTGGCTTGTCGACTGTTTCATCGCCTACAACGCTGACTGCGCCTACAGTGGTCGATCAACAGCCGCCGCTAAAATTGAACGGCACTGCAGCGAGTGTACAGAACCTGACGAGCACAATTGACCCGAAAGCATTGATTATTGAGGATGAACCGACCACTGAATGGACGCCGGAAATTCCATTTAAAAATGTACGTGCGAATTTCAATTCAAATGAATGTATGTATGTATGTATGTATTTGTTGAAGTGTATGTGTATGCCCAGCCAGCAGAGAAACGTAAATTTTGCCGACAGTGCAGTCTAGTGCCATTTTGCGTATCCGGAAACGAATAGAAAACGACTGCAGCTATCATTCATTTTCGTATGCAGAAAACGTTCGAAACGTTGGAAAAAGATGATGGTTTTTCAAAGCAATAATTGTATTTCATTTGTTCAACCTAAACATTTGAAAGCATGCATGCGTGGCCGGCAGTGGCTGAGCGTGCCGCTATTTGTTAGCTTCCAGAAGGTGCCGTGTTCGAATTCCGTCAGGCGTTTCCTTAATTTATTTTATTTTTTTTTTTTTTTTTGAACCATGAAAAAGTATCTGTGAAGTGCAGAAGGAAAGCGTATTGAACGAAAAATTCAATCAGATAAATTTCAGAAAAACACCCAAAAAAGAAGTACTTATCTGTATGTACGTTTCTGCCGCACACTTTGGTGGGAAAATGGATCGTCAAAGTATCCGATAATGGAATCGGTAAACGGACAAAAATCCGCACTTCATCCACATTTTTTTTCCTTTTTCGGATCATTTTTCGGATCGTTTTTCGGATTTTTTTTTTCTGGCTGGGTGGGCACGTGCAAGTGCGGTATTTGATCTTCATTTAGGTGTATGTGTGTGTGTGTGTATGTAAATTTTGGCTGGCTGCAATGGACTTGTTTGCCTCTACCAAAAATTGCATAGGAATTCCTACATTAATGTACTTTTATTTCGCGTATGCATGTATTAGTGCCAATCTCTGGATAACAAGGCTCTTTTGCGGTGGACATTGCGAACTAGTATGACTGATTATTAGGCTCTTTGAATTCATGTTGATGAATTAGCTCGAAGCGTGTGAAAGCTAAGCATTTTCGAGCAATTTGAAACCTTTGAGCTGGCTTTGCTGTAAGAAGGATGTACTGAAATCAACAAGTGAAAAAATTCAAGAATTTTTGTAAAGCGAAAAACTTTTTCTAGCATGCTGGGATGCCCACCTCTTCAGTTTGGCTTTAATAGAGTGAAATATTTACGACTGCTTTTGTGCCCAAAAGCGTCAAGAGAATTTGATTTTACATATCGACTCCTAACCGCCAAAAAGACGTAAGCGACATATTTTTTCAATATTATTTTAGATGCAGAAATGTACGTAGATGCTCTAGGAACATTTCTGCATCAAAAATAAAATCTTGAAAAAATTTCGCTTATGTCTTTTTGGCGGTTAAGGCTCGATATGTTTAATTTAAAAAGGTATAAAACAGCAGCGTGGAGAAAATGTGTTCTTTCTCAATATATTTTCACTTTAATCACTGGAAAGCCATATATTTATTTACATACATATGTATTTTCATTTATAAATTTTTTTTATATTTCCTTTGCACAATTCAGCTAAACTCGCCACAGGACGGCCTCAATCGCAGCGATTCGGTTTTATGTGATACCAAACAGGAACATGGCCTTTCAATGACGGCGTTGGATGAAGAGGTAGGTAAAATACATGCATACATATGTATGTGTGTATATATTCACATATATTAGGTGGCACCCCTCTCCATGCACAAAAAAAAAACGGTACAGTTTTTCCATTGGAATTATAAAATCTGTTATAATTTGAAACTTCCGCAAAAATATTTAAGAAAAAAATATTAAGATTTAAGTAAGCTGCTGGTCCAATTTGAAAATACCACAAAAAGTTTTTTACAAACTAAATTGTTTTTTAAAAATATTTTATAACCTCAGTTTTTATAAGAATCTAAATTTAAGAGGTCCGCATCAAAATGTTTGAAAACTGCTCATAGGAATCCAAATAATTAGATTTTTGGAGATATTTTCAAATTGGTCAAGCTAACATAAATCTTTATATTTTTCCGAAAGTCTTAAAATATCATTAATTTTGTAATACCGGGGGAAACAGCGCCGATTTTTTTTTTTTTTTTTTTTTGATGAAAAGTGTTTCACCTTAATCTATACATAAATATTCGATACTCTTTGCAGATTTATAAAAAAAAAACTTTTTATTCTCGGGCCGGCTGCTTTTTTAAATTTATGTAAAATAAATCTATTTTATATTCTTATGTCCTTATTCATAAAAAATAATATAGATTTAAAGAGCTATATGTATAAAGTAGCATTTTCATACAAATTTTTGATGTATAAAACAGTTTAAGTCTTCTTTATTTTTTACGAATTTGGGTGTTAAATTATATTTTTCGACCATAAACCTTATCTTTTCGATTAATTTTTTTTCATATCTATCCCTTAGATTGATGATTTCATAGAACAAAATATACAAATTAACTCCAATAAGGAGATACGACGGGAGTACCTGAACACATGGACTTTGAAGTTTAAAGATCGCGGTCAAGAACAAAAGTTTTGTCAATTACGCGAAGATATGTTTAGGTAAGTAAAATTTTAGCTTAAAGCAGTAATAGCTAATTAACCAATTATGAGTAGTATGTTATATATATATACACACTGTGCGATGGTAAAATATTAAAATGGCTTACCTTCAAAAAGGCATTATTCGTATATTAAGAAGAAACATCTTAAAATTAATTTCAAGAAGGAAATACTTTGCTTTTTATTATGATACCTAATTAAAAAATATAAAATAAAGAACTCTGCTTGACATCGCAGTTCTCAGCCTTACCCGTGCGGCGGCCGTCACACCGATACTCTTCAATGCAATAAAATGAATGACTTGCCACAGATGTTCTTTTTAATAGATTCAATAAATATTTTCTTGAAAAAAAAGAAAATTTCTCTACAAAATTAAGTTTCTGGTGTTTTTCCCCGAGTTTTATAAACACAAAATTTAGTAAAGTTATATACACATGCCTCTTTTGAAATGACTTTAGGATTATTAAAGGAGTTCTGCTATATGGTAGATGCATCACAACTTTCCAATGCAGCTCTCTACATTTTTGGGGAGTCATCAAGCTTGTGCATCTTTTATAAAGCATCTAGTTGTATGTGATCCATTTTTCATCATAAGTAATCATTCCCTTCACAACCGCAATGACTACCACTGGTTGGAATCGACCATTTTTGGTTTGATTAGTTTAGTTTTTGATTATCTAAACTATTGTTGTTTAGTACCTACTCTATAGAAATATATATTTAAAAAAAATATATATATATTTAAAAAACCCAAAAAAAAATTTACAGAATTTTAAAATTGATAAAAAAAGAAAAAACGAAAACTTATAAAAATTATTGACTAAACAATACCCCAAAGTGATCTTAAAAGATCCAAAATTTTAAAAAAGTAGTTTTTCTAAATTCAACAATTTTATTGAAATTAAAGATATTAGTTTTTGAGCTTTGAAAAAAGCGCAAACTCTTAATAAAGTTATACTAAAAAAGTTTTGTTTAACTTAATTTTATTTTTTATTTAACTTAAGTTTATTTTTAATTTAAAGCTAAATACAATTTCAAAGTTTAAAAATTCATGTCTTTAAAAAGAACACGGATATTTTAAGATCAACTGAAGGTATTATAAAAAATTGAGCCAAAAATTAATACAAGTTCTTGCTTTTACGATTTTTTAAACTTCATTAAAATAGCGCCAAATATTTAGGTACCTTTGAAAAAGGCGAGAACCATTTTTGTACAGTTTGCGATTTTCAAAAAATAAATTTGCAAAATCAAGGAAATTGTTTTTCCTTTGTCTGACCAAAGTCATCCGTATAAAAAATGACCGATTTCAGTAATAAGTAATATTCTAAAAAATAGTCTGAATGTACACATTCATTGCAGGTATTCGCCGAATTTCTTAGGCTAACTACACACCAAGTAAGAGATAGACCTGAAAAAAAATCTTTTGGTTTTTAAATGGGCCTTTTTGGATATTCTTTCCCCTTCTTTTAGATCAATAAATTAAACCAGCTTAGGCTACATATCTTTTTCTTCTGCATTGCTTTTCAATATTTTTGTTTACGCTTTGTTTTTTTTTCAGATCGAATATGCTGTGCATTTTTATCATCTGGCTGTTTATTGTAATGTGCCAAGTAATTATTATACCACGTTGTACCAAATTAATTATTTGCCTAGTGGTGGGCACAATCTTCTTAACATTTGCTTGCGTGCTAGTCATGGCAGAAGAGTTCTCAAGTAAGTCAAAGCAAATCTGTTACAAATAAATACCAAATTATAATTATATTTTTTTACATTCGTTTTACCACACACACCACCCACAGATCTCCCACTCTACCTGAAACAAAATTCTGCCAAACTTGTTCATCAACGGCGGCGGCGTACATTCTTCATTTGCATTGTCATCGTAATGATGTCGGTGTTGAGTGCAATTGGCTTGGTACTCTGTCCGGATGCAACATTCGCCTTTGACAGCACCGGCGACAATAAAACCTCAACATCCACTACACAGTTAACTAGTAACAACAACTCGGTTAGTGCTCTGTTGGCAAGCGGCAGTGAAAAGGAAATCAAATTAAATGTTTACCTATCGGCGACAATACATCACAACATCACCATCAATGCAGCTAATGGCACAATTGTCGATGCATTCATCACCGACAATCTCACAGCAGCAGCACCAGCTGGCGATCTTGTACGCCAAAGCATTGTTAATGCGCTCAATTTAACACAAACACCTATAAATCTGCTGAATGCATCAGCCAACACACTCGAATCCTTCGAACAATCGCCACGCGGCATTTTAATGGCAACCGCTGCCGCCGCCGCTGCTGCTGCTGCTGCTGCACCGCTAGTCAACGACACCGACACCGACACCGACACGGAATCGGAACTGACTGATGCAGCTCACTTGGAGCTCTACAACAGCATCAACACTTTTAATAGCACGGATGATACGACGGTGCATCGAAATGTTTGTGCGCATCCCGAGTATATCATTTTCACCTGGGTGCTGTGTCTCGTTTCGCTTGCGACAGCGCTAAAGCTCTACTATCTCATCAAAACTTTACTCGCAATGGCTATGGTCGGCTGCTATATGATCTTAATATTGACACTGTTCCAAGCGCTCTACTCGTCATCAGCTGCGAGTTTCGATTATCTACGCATGGCCATGCCACTGGATGTGCAGATGCTTATACTGCTGTGCTCATTCTTGATTATGGTCGGCTATCATGCGCGCCTGGTAGAGGTGAGTATTTAAGTGAGGGCGAGACTCTTGTCTTTTTATGTTGTAGATACATGCCCTGTAAAAAAAATTTTTGTTAAAAGGCTGTCAACTTCACGTTTTATTGACTATTTCACGTGGGCGCTTACAAATTTAGAAAGCACGCTAAAACTAAAAAAAAAAATTTATTCTTAGTGAACACCTACCCAATAAACCACAAAAAAAATGTCAACACTCAACCTATTTAGTTGCGCTTCCTTTCCAGTTAGCAGTTCCGCAGTTCATCAAATGAAAGGAAATGAGGCCAAAAAAAGTATACAAATGAAGAAGCTCTGATCCAGTACTCCAAGAACTTGCAGGTTTTTACACAAACTTGTAGGAAGTTACAGGAAAAATGTTCCCGTATTCCAAAATCATGTAAATGAGTGCGATTTTTGGAGAGTTGTGTAGATAGTGAAGTTGCAAGGTTTTACCCGAACTTTATCTTCTGCTAAAATCATGAAAAGTGTCAAGCGATAAGCTGTTTGACGTTTTTACAGGAAAAATGTTTTTTTTTTTGTTCGCGAACTTTTTGGTTGTTACTCACTTTTTACTCTCACTTTAGAGAGTAATTTTGCTGTTTGACATTTTTACAGGATTTTACACGAAAAGTCTTGGATCAGAGCTAATGTGTATTCAGCCAAATTTAGCAGTGATGGGCATGTGGCTAGATGTTGCGCGCCTGTTATTTTTTTTTTTGAGATTTATGGCTATCAAAATTAGTAATATCGTATATTGGAATTCGGCTGCTGGTTAGCATAATCTTATTAGCAAACAGTGCCGAGAAGTATGCAATATTAGATACGTACATACATCCATATTTACCTGAATTGCTTTGCCTGTTTCTGTTTCTTCATGTGACAAGACTCCCTCCTGATTTAAAGAGCGTTTCAATGCCTTATAAATGAGAGGAAATTACATAATTTCTCTTTTGGTAAACTCGCTTTCTTTTTCGTGTATCAGCCAATGTGTCTAAGAATCTCAAGGTTTTCTAAAATATTTTGTACAGAAGGCAGTGTTACTGGATGCTACTGGACATAACCGTTTTAAAAGAAATGAGAAATAACTTTGCAAACTCATCTATTGGCTTACCCATAAAACGAGCTATTTCAACGTCATGATATAGTTAGCATCGTGCGTGTCATCTTCAGACAAACCTATTTCAATCTTAGTCAATCGGAAAGAAAGGCGTTGCTTTTATAAGAACCTGATACATTTGACATTGTCCTTAGATACCGTCTCAGCTCCAACTTAGAACATATTTCAAGGTCCGCTACAATACAAATCTAGCTCAACATTAAAGTATAAATTCAGAGGGAAATAGGTCAAAACGTTCATTTCAGATATATCAAATAAAACAGCCAATACGCAGGCAAAGGACTCTCCAAACCTCTCAAAGATCGACTAACTTGGCTCCGTTTGAAATTATCCATTTAGGATTCATCCTGACTACATGAGTCCATCAAAAGACCTAAGAGTAGATGTAAACACGAATTAAGGGTTACGTTTAGGAAAGCATTCCTTCTTTGGTATTTTCATTACATATCAGTCTGTCTTACTGTGATGACTGTTCCAATTTTAATATAATATCAATGAGGCCAAAAAATGTGTAGTAATATCGCTTCCAACTCTTATGTCAACTGAGTATACTAGGAAACAAGTTTTGGCCAAAAAAAAGTAATTGAGGGCGTACATAGATTTTCGGACAATGTCTGCTCTGAAGCGAATAATCAAGTTCTCTTCAATTCAATTTTTTGGTTCGTTGGGTATGTGTAGTAAACTCGTGGCATTCACAGTCAGCGCCCACAAGGAGTCGGCAAACAATTAAAATATGTACCATCTATGTTTTTGCACGTAATTAATGACGTTTTTTCTATTTTCTCATGCTTTTCTCATTTTTCCATTTATTTTTATTTCTTCTTATTTTCTCTTGTGTTCGAAATACTTGGCTGCGCAATGAAACGCCAGGTCACTTCGCGTTTGGATTTCATTTGGAAGGAGCAAGCTGAGCGTGAATTAATGAATATGAAATCGAATCGTGCACTTAACGACACATTAATTAAGGTAAAATAAATGTTTGCGCATTTTGCTTTCTTTTAAGTTTGCTCAAGTAATTTTCAGTATTTAGTGGTGCTTGGCACAAAAAATTAAACAAACTATTTTGTTGCACTGATTTGTTTTTAAAAATTTAATTATGCTAAATATGTACGTATTGCTTATATAGTACCTCCATTATTTGTTTTCAGAACATTTTGCCAGATCATGTTGCCGCCTATTATCTCTCCGATGAGCACACTGACGAATTGTATTCGAAAAACCATGCACTTTGTGGTGTTATGTTTGCTTCTATACCCAATTTTCAGGATTTCTATTCGGAGGACATCGACAATGGCAAGGCATGCATACGCATATTGAATGAGATTATATGTAAGTGATATTGGTACTAATAACTATTAATTTGGTTTTTCGATTCTGTTATCGATATATTTATCGATTTGTCGATATTCTTATCGATTTTGTCATAGATATTTTTATCGGTTTTTTACTGATATTTTTGTTGATTCTGCTATCGATATAGTTACCGATTTTGTTATCGATATATTTATCGATTTTGTTGTCGATATTTTTATCGATTTAGTCATCGATATTTTTATCGGTTTTGTTACCGATATTTTTATCGATTTTGCTATCGGTATTGTTATCGCTTTTGTTATCGATATTTTTATCGGTTTTATTATCGATATTTTTATTAATTTTGCTATGGATATTGTTATCGCTTTTGTTATTGATATTTTGTAATCGATTTAGTTATCGATTTTGTTCTTGATTTTGTTGTCGATATTTCTATCGATTTTGCTATCGATATTATTATCGATTTCCCTATCAATATTTTCATCGATTTTGTTATCGATATTTTTTTCTTAATGTGTGCTTTCGTTTTTGACTTGGATATGCTCTTAACCATACCACATAGCCTGCAGACCAAGACGAAGGCGCTGGACTGTTTCTTTTTTTCTAATAAGTATTATAAAAATATAGTACACGTAGGTGTTCATTAATTGAAAAAAAATTATAAAGTAGTGGTTTTGAATTATTAAAATTTATTTAAGTTTTCCTGTTTCATTACATTTAGCTTGTCAGGGCCCATCCCGTTTGGACTGAACTTAAAACGGTGCTCGACGTCACTGCTAATAGTCGTATAAGTTTTACAAGCATCTGAAATTTACACATGGCGTTGTGGAGGCAGCATCTATCCATTTATTCCTATCAAAAGCAGCTTTTAGACGACAAAGCGTTCGGATGCCGATTTGCTTGCAGAGGTTATTTTCTAAGCTTTGATGGTTCAATGATGGATTTGTCAATTCTGACACCACATTGATAAAACGCCATCAGTTGATTCATGGTGGGCTTAAGTCTTTCACACAGTACCGTCGACAGGACCTTATAAGCAATACCTAGAAGCCTTCTTCTGGGATAATTGTACACAGAGTTTTTAATTTTCGGGCATTTTTTCATCAGATCAGATTTCACTTGGTCGACTTTGAACAAATCAGTTAGTATTCCCTCAGCATCTATTTTTGATGCGAATAGATGCAACTCATTCCTGAGGAGGGTGAAACTGCAAACGAGTTTACGGATTCGCACACCGGACAACTTAAAATCTGGCTTTGAATTGTTTTGTCGCCTCCTAGCATCTGTAGTAAACATCGCATGCTGCATATTTTTACAGCCATGCCGCATTTTCTGCAGTGTCATGATGCCTCCCTTATCAGCATTGCGACAGAGGCACCTTTCCAAGACGCTCCATAAGCATATTCGTAAATAGCAGTCCCGCCTAGGCCCGCAGCTTAGCCAACCACACCAGTATTACATTTTCGCATTTTTAGTTTATATAAAAACGCACGGTTGTTTGACAATTAAAAGTTAATTAAATTATTGTCCTCTTTTCCAATCCCCAGGCGACTTCGACGAACTCCTGGAGGAACCCCGCTTTGCGTCCATTGAGAAAATCAAGACTGTTGGCGCCACCTACATGGCCGCTTCCGGTCTAAATTCAGCACATTTGAATGCACGCGGCGAGACAGCGGAAGACAGCGTTTGCGATTTGGTTGAGTTTGCCTTTGCCATGAAACAAAAACTGGAGGAAATCAACAAGGAAGCATTCAACAACTTTCAGTTGCGCGTGGGCATCTGCAGCGGTCCCTTGGTGAGCGGTGTGATTGGCGCGCGCAAGCCCGTCTATGACATCTGGGGCAATACGGTGAACGTGGCCTCACGTATGGACTCCACCGGCGAGAATTGGCGCATACAAGTGCCTACCAAAACTTCAGAGCTGCTAAAGGGCAAGGGATACACGTGTGTGGTTAGTAATAAATATTTACATATAAACATATTTAGTTGAGGACAATTATTTTGTTTTCTTTTTTGGGGGTCTCACATTCACATTTTTTTTTTTAACTTAGAAACGCGGCGAGATAAATGTAAAGGGCAAAGGCCTAATGGTCACGTACTTTGTGCATCCTAGAGGCGCCAATGAAAGTCAATTATCGTCACCGGTGCGACTGCCGGCGGGTGTGCCATTATCGCAGACGCCCAACTTACAGCGCCAGACATCGCATCATGGCTCCTTCAGCGCTGTGGTGTTCGGCATGTTGCAGGCATCGAAACGTAGCACAACCATAGCAGGCACACGTAAGAGTCACCAATATATAATTTGGCAGTTGTTTGTTTGTATGTACATATGTATGTATATACGCTGCTTGCATGCATGTGTATATAGATATTTACAAAAAATACAAACATACATGTAGTACATATGTAAAGTTATTTACATACATACAATTGGTTCTATTTTTTTATCGCTTTCAATGGATTTGCAGCGACTGGCACTCCCTCACCGCAAATAAGACGTGGTCGTCGTGGTAGTACCTTCAGTTCAGTGCGTCTATCGCAAAAGTCTACCACCACCAACAATCCGGTGAGGCGGAATACAACACGAGTGCGTGGTCGCTCATATCGACAGAAGAAGGTGGCACATTTTGAACGTCCATCGAAGAGAATATTGGCTAAGTAGTAATTAATTTTCGTTCTTTTTCTCTTTTTTTTTTTTGCTACTTTGTTGCAGAGCTCGTCCAACAACTCGATAGTAACACAGACCAGTAATTCGTACATCTCGTCGTTTCGACGCATCGATCAAATTGAGACGACGCTGTCCAAAAGTCACAATGATGCTTTATAGCCAATGCGCAATTGGGTGTAAGTCGACGCACCAGCGCAAGGCGACCAATTTTAATTTACTACTAAATACTACTACATATGTGCACACTTATTTATTATACGAGTATATTAGCTATATTTTTAGATATATAAAAAAATTAGTTTAGTAAAGATATTTACGAAGGATAAAAAAAGTTTGACAAGCACTTCCCAGTGATCCCTTTGGTGTAAACTGATTTCAATTAAGCAAAAAGTGCATTTATTTTTGGAGCATTTTTTAATAAGTTAGTAACTTAGATTCAGATACATACATATGTACTAAATATACTATATGTATGTAGATAAAATATATAAATTACTGTATGTATGTACTTAAGTGTCTACGATGCAATTGCTGTTGGCAAATGTGAATGTGAACAGATTTACCTATGTAGCTTTATTTTATGTAATTGTATGAAAACTTAAACAAATGTCAAGGCGATTTTAAAATTTTCTTAGAAGCTAAGTAATCAAAGGAAGAAATTTGTATGTATGTATGCACTTATTGGTACATAAGTACACTTTTTTTTACAAATTTTTTATCTGCAAACGTCTTGGCGATCGGTATGGGTAAAATTTGCGTTAATCCAGCAGAAAATTTTTAGCTGCTTCTTTTGTATACAAATGAACATTTCTAGACTAGTGCAGGGCTATTTCAGCCCATTTCGGCACTAATTCGGAACGTTTTCGGGATCATTTCGAGGTCTGTTCCAGACAATTTAGGGTTAGCTACGACTATTCGAGGGCCATTTTTGGTCTAGTTCTGGATCATTTCGACCCTAGTTCAGGAATATTTTAGGAACACTTTAAAACTTTTTCGTCCATTTCGGGGCCTGTTCAGGACTATTTCAAGACCATTCGGGAAGAGTTCGGGATCACTTCGAAACTCTTTCGGGACCTATTCAGGACCATTTCGGGTTTGGTTCTGGATCATGTGAGATTAATTCAGGCCTATTTCGAGACTAGTATCGGTTAATTACGGGGCTGGTTCAGGCAATTTCGGAACTAGTTCAGTATTTCAGGGACTGGTTCTATATCATTTCGGGACAAGTACAGAGACCGTTTCAAGACTTGTTTGGGACAAATCATCTAATGATTTTTCAAGTCGTACACAGATGTTTACACATCAAATTTCATGGGTATCTGGTACTCACGCCTTTTTTTTAATTGTAATGCAATGGCTGTATGTGGTCTGGAGGTACTTTGTCCCAGTGGCGGAGAAAAGTAATCTACAAGGCGTTGACTGTCTCTTCACAAGGAAGATCAGTGTGGAGTTGAGTGGCACGCCACTTTTTTTAGAAAAAAACTAGGGACTCTCTCCCAAATTGACCTTGTGATCATTTAACATAGTTGTGAAGTCGGCGCGTGCAAAGGTCTTCATTGAGATCCGGACCACTCCTAGCCCTAAATGCTATGCTTGGGATCGTACCTGGTTATATTGCGCACAAAGCAGCGGCAGTTCACACAGCCATTAAGCTCAAAAGCTGTGGATTCTCTTTTAACCCAGCATATTGGCACTCGGCAATTCTGAAAAGCTTCGACCTCCTACCGGCAGAAATAGATAGGAATGCTCCGAGGCTGGCTTCAAACAGCTTCTTCTCCACGTGCATCCCCCCAAGGGGTAAATGAGAGAATGACAGTATCTGAAGCAGAGGTCCAATAAACATCTTCACGGATGGATTAAATCTGGACAGCAGAGTTGGAGGAAGTGCCTACTGTCAGGAACTTTCAATAGATCTTATGTTCAGACTGCCGGATCTCTGCAGCGCCTTTCAGGCAGAGTTGGCCGCTATAAAAGAGACAGCCGATTGGCTATGCGCCAATGTTTTGCTGACTAGGAGGGTAAATATCTACTCTGATAGCCAAGCGGCAATCAGGGCGCTGGAATAGCTGATGGTACGTTCGAAACTTGTTGGGGAATGCCTGACCTCTCTCTCAACTGCCACGGAATACTTCCAAATCAAGCTGATATCACGTGAAATTGCAGGGCTAATGAATTGGCTAGGCAGTGCACCCCCCACGCCATAACCTCGGACAAGGAGGGCATAGGAGTTCCGTTGGCAACCGGCGGCCTGATTCTGGACCGATGGGCTCATAGTCGACTCAGCGAACGCTCTGGGCAAAAAAGCCCGTAATGCAAGGTTGCAAGGTCTTTATGACCGCATATTGACCACGGGCGGTGAAGGCAGCTTCTGTTGCTGACTAAGCGCCAGCTCTCGATTCTGACAGGTTTACTTACCGGACATTGTCCCTTAGGAGCCCACGCGGCGCGAGTTAATATCGTCACGGATCCTTAATGCCGCGGTCCATGACTTTATAAATGAGAACACAAAGCGCATACGTATTTATCCTTTTTTTTCAAAACTCAGTGGTGCATACATTCATACAAATACAAGTTATATGCTTGATTCTGTCAACATAGTTAAATACTAACATATATATATAGTTAAATACGAATGAATCTAACATAATATAATATTGATTTATATACGTAACAACTTTATTTTACCAATTTTTAACTACTATTGTTCGTCTAGTCGTTAGCTTTAAATAAAAATTAAATAAATAGAAATTGTCTGGTTTTATTTTGAAAATTGTTTTTTTTTTTTTTTGTTTTTTACATAGATAAAAAGTTATCTATGGAGACAGAGTCTCCTAAGCCATTATCATCCCATCTATAGTCCAACTCGATGATTAAAAGTTTGGAACGTGTACGCCTTGCATTAAATAAATTTTATAGAACATTTGTCAATTTGTTCTAAATAACGCGCTCGGCACGCAAAGGCAAACCTCCACCGCGCAAAAAGGAACACGCCGCAGTCGATGCAATACCGCTTAAATAACTGAAATACGGCATCCAAGAGCTGATTGGTCGCATATTTCAGCTGCTAAGCGCATTTTGATGTGATCAATGCATGCTCGAAGATAACGAGTCTTACTGACCAATCCACAAGAATATAGTGCCTGCTATTTGCGTCAATTACTGTGTGTTAAGCCTTCCCATCATTTCATATAAGGTCCTATTGGCTATACTGTATGAAAGGCTAAAGTTCCTCATGTACAAATTTATTAAGTGGCTTCAGATCAGTCCCAGATTGAAATGTTTCACTGGTAATATGCATGTGCATACTTTTTTTCTCTTTAGAAAGCAAAAGCAAGCATTTGCGAAAGTAAATAAACTAATAAAAAGTTACCGAAATAATAACTAATATGGCAATATGTTTTTTTAAGGAAATTTTTTTAGTGAAAAAAAATATTTTTTTTTTCGGTAAAATAATTGTTTTAATTTAATTTGAGTTGTAATATGTATTTATTTTTTAAAGGAAATGATTTTTGGGAAAACATTTTGGGATTTTTTAGGGAAAAATAATTATTTAGGAAAAAGGTAAATTTGTTTTGAGAAAAAATAATAATTTAAATTTTACTTGGATTTATTGTGTATTTACATAATATAAATTTTTTAGTTTTTTTTTTAAGGTTTTAAGCATCTGAGAAAATAAATAAAATTAGAAAATTGTACGTATATTTTAGAAAAAAAGTATGTTTTTACGAAAATAATTACTAAAAAGTTTTTTTTAGGGAATGTGCATATATTTTCTTGGGAAATAAATATTTTCTTCGGTAAAAAAATAATTTTAATTTAATTTGAATTATAATATGTATGTATTTGTGTTTGAGAGGAAATGATGTAAAAAAATTGTTTATTCGTAAAAAAATACTTTTTGAGCACAAAAACCATTTTTTACGAAAATTAAATAAACTTAGCAAAATTTGCAAGAAATTATTTCTGGGGAACATTTTTTTTTTGTAGAAAAAATTATTAAATTGCATCATTTTTGTCTTCAGATTTTTATACAACTTAAAAAAAAAATTTTTTACTCAAATATGTAGGACTAAAAAGATTTTCTTTTAACAATATGAACGACAACATTTTATTAGCATAGCATTTTCTTTTTATATCACAATTTAAAACTTTTTTTTAAATAGTACCTTACTGAGTGGGCTAATCAATATAACCGTAGTGAAGTAATGGTTTTTGGCATTTTCAATTCATTAAATTTCTTCGCTCATACATATTTACGCGCCAAATTTGTCATTATCCAGTTTTTTACTTGACAGCAATCAGTAACAGCACTTCCACAAAGCCCACATCTGTCATCAAACCTCGAACAGCGGATCAAAGTCATTAGCTCATGAATGAAATCCCCCTGCAGTCAAGTCATTTGATCAAAGTGTCTTCACTACCTGCGCTGCTTGAGAATGCAACCACGAACAACAACATAAAGCCAGCAAATGGAAATGCACACATTCATACCTGTCTGCACTTACGCACTAAACAAACACATACATAAATTCATATATGTAGCTGTGCGTGCAGTTTTCCATCATTCCACCTAGTAAATATAATGAAACTGAATACAAATTAAATAAATTATTGAGAATACACCATCGTAAAATATAAAGACTCATTTAAATGCAGCCACCACTTAATTTGACGATGGGCATGCGTGCGTGTACATACATACATTTGTAGATATGTACATAGGTACGGTAATTTATATTAGTCAAAGAATTGCGGCGATGCGGTAATCGCACGATGCACCGACCAAAACGAAATTCGCCTTAGACAAACCAAATGGTGGTTGTCTAACTATTCCTTAGTTCACCTTCCAACAAAAAATTCAGTGCTTCCCACGTTCGTTACGTTTCGCTGCGCGGCGCGCTGCTGATTGGTGTGGACTGCTGACACACGCATTAACAAAGAGACCGGAGACCGAAGACCGAAGACCGAAGACCGGAACATTTTCATGCCACATGTAGAGTTCGTGGAAAATGAACCCCAAAATCTTACAATAATAATCTACTTGGAAGAAATGTGGGCAGGCAATTGTGAAAGAAATATTTAAAAATAGTCTCTGGTAGCAAACAGCGGTGACCAACAACAGCCGCGAAGCGCATCTTCGACACACACACAGTGAGCAACCAAATTGTTTTAGTTTACGAACTATTATTTTTTTTTTGTAGCATTCATTAGTTGTGAGAAAACTTTTGTTGCTAATTTTTATATCTGTGGGCGCAAGCAATTGTCTTTTTCTACTTCTGCTTAATTGGTGCGATTACCGCTTTACCGGATTTCGGTCGAGCTTAACATAGCATACCATTCGTTCCTTCTTCTCTCTACCTGGCGCCGATTGAACCTTAGTGCCTCTCCATCTGATCGTTACAACGTAGAGGAGGTCTTCCCCTTCCTCCGCTGCCATCAGTGGGTGCAGAGTTGA